TGTCAGCAGATAACACAGACACTGCAGAAGAATCACTTTCTGTCCTGTCTGTGCTCAAACTGAACACTAACATGGAGGTTTGGATGTAGCTGAAGCATCCGCTACTGTATGTGGCTGTATGGGATAGTATTTTTTTTATTTATAGATGTATGTAGTGTATATCTCTATGATGAATAATGAGTGCAAGTCCTTCCAAAATGTGCACTGACCCGAAATTCATCATGCCTTGATGACAACTTCACATTCTCTCCAAGAACGAGAGCAAAGACATGCACTGCGATAGTATAACATGTACAGTACTCCTCAGCCGCAGTATATTTTCTTGTGGTATTGTCTCTGCTCTGGGGCATAGGTTTGGTTTTGTAAGTGCATCTCTATAGTTTAAATAAAGCTAGCAAATAAGAAATTATGTAAACAAATTATATAATGGGCATTCATGCAGTAACCCATCAAAAAATCATGATTGCTTTCCTTGAAACAAACCTGACACCTTATGGTAAATGGTGCTGTATTTGCATCTTCATTAGTTGCAACTATTTTAATAAGTAAAACCAGTGAACTGTGAATTGCATTCAGGTGCAACTTCTCAAACCTGAGGATTTAATGCTTTTCTATGTCATAAATCAATTTAAATTGAATATTTTTGGGGCTGAGATGAGGTCATTTGCGCCTCTGTTTCACTTATTTTTGACATTTTATAATTTAAGCAATTAAATAAGATGAATTGATAATGAAAATAATTTGATGCAGCCCTAGACTTATGAAGCCTGTGAGGCAAAACCATTGGGAAAAAGTTTGGAAATAACTTGCTGCTGCCAGTAAAGCTCACCACTGTGAGCACACTGCAATAGAAACTTTTTAACAACACAAAGCTTCTGTCATCTGAATGATGGCAGCGGGACAGTAAAAAGTCAGCGTTCAGACAGATTTTAGTGAATACATCACACTGAAAAATAGAGGGGGATTTTAAAAAGTAAAAAGGACGTCTCCCCTGGCCCACATAAAAATTACACCCTTGTGTCTGCTGCCGTCAATCTTATTAGTTTCTGTGGTGAACTGCAACGTGCCTACATCGTAAATCCACATGCTTCTGATCTCATCTCACTTGCTGTTGCGGAGACATGCACTGTTAGCAATTCTTGGTAAATATTTACTCTGAAGAGGAGCATGGAAAGACGAGCTAAGGTGGGAAGGAATATTTAGAGAATCTTCAAAATCTCTGGTAAAGACTTCAGAAGAGAAAAGACAAAGGGATGACTTTGTGTTTCTGTGAAGTATCTGCTTCAAGCTGGTGTCTCTTCTTGTTT